TGTCATTGTGTCCGAAACACCGTCAATACTTTGAATGCACTGCCAATTTGTTTGAATGAGGTTTTGCACGCAAATTGAGACAGCACGCATTTCGAAGGAATTAGGCCTCGGCGCCGCCCAAACAATGTCTGATCTCAAAACGGACTATGCCATTGTGACCGGGACATCGTTAATACCCTAAATACACTGCTAATTTGTTCAAAAAGGGTATTTACAAAATTGGCACACAAAACGAGGCATATTGCACAAATTTTGAGACAATGTACGAAGATCAACGCCCTTCTCCTTGAAATTAATAATTAACAGTCACTTTCAAATTACTAATGACATTAATAATAATATAATAATATTATTATTAATGTTAAAAAAAAAGATGAAAATAAAAAAATAAAAAATAAAGTAAATTGAAATATCAAAATCTTATTAATTTTGATTACCTTGGCTGCTCTGATCTCTGCCAAATCCCTGATATCCCGTTGAGTGGAAACCTCGGATGGGGTTATCTTGCTTTGAATGTAGAGCCTCTCATTTTAATAATTTTCCTAGCCGAAGATGCCCACCTCCTCACTCCAACCGTTTCCCCTCTTGCTGAGAACTTAGTCGTTCTTCAATCCACCAAACTGGATAACTCCCAACTCCACTTGCTACAACTATCCTGCTCCCTTTCTCTGACCATACACAGTCCACTCTATACCAGACCCGCCAATCTTTTACTGCTGTAGGAGAACTTCCAACTTCTAAGCTGCTGACCGACCCCTTCTCTTGCTAAAATCTTCCTACGTTACAGGAGCTGAAACCTCGTCCCATGCCCGCTCTCACCCAGCTCCATCAAACTCCAAATCACACAACATCCCAACTTCACAAACTATCTCTTCTCAGATTTTGTAAGTCCTTGTTCAGCCTGCTCCCTTCCGACATCCAGTTGCGGAACACCTTAGCCTTTAATAGGCTTTCTCCATCACATAACCGAGCCACCTAGATCCCAAGCAGCATCCGAAGTGCCCTGCTCACATCACAATCTCTCTGACGTCCGACTTCCTCCTCACTGCTTGCAACTGAACTTTTGTTTCAGTTCCGATCAGACACCAAGCCATTTAGCAGCCTTCCGTCTTCGATCAAGCAAAAGGAGGAGGCTAAGGGGAACCAGCAGCATCTGAAGAGGATTGAGGAGTTTAGGCACAAGGTGGAGTCGGAGCTCCCCAGCATTTGCAGTGACGTCATGTCTGCTATTGAGTTCAAAACTATAAATGATAGGAAAGAAGCTCCTGTTCCGTCACCTCTGCTCTTGAACCTCACAAGCTCGTTTTAAACCAAAAGCAAAATATATATACATGAAGAGAATCCCTGTCTTTTTGCATTCTCTCATGCCAAAAGCTACTCAACTGCAACAGTTTTTCTCCAAGCCAAAAAAAATGAATGACAAAAAAAAAAAAGAAAAAAAAAAGAAGAAAAAAAGAGAAAAAAAGAGAAAAGAAAACATTAAAAAAATAGGATTTTGTATATCTTGATGCGACTATCCCTGCCGCTGGCACCGGTCCATGCAAAGGTATAAAAATTCTAGACTCAGATTTCCATTCTCATCATTGGCAGCGAACTAGCAAATCCCCTACGCGCTCACGTAGCGTTGTAGGGAGGGATGCTAGTGCGATGCCTACGATGAGGCGGGAAATCACGTAAGATTCTTTTCTCATGACTTGCAACGAGCTAGCAAACCCCCTACGCGCTCACGTAGCATTGTAGAGAGGGAAACTGGTGTGGCGCTGGTGGCGATTTAATAATCCCTCTTCAATGCTAGCAACGAGCAGGCAAACCCCCTACGCGCTCAATTAGCGTTGTAGGGACGGAAACCAGTGCGGTGCTTGCGGCGAAGGGGATATAAAAAAAATTCTTTATTTTTATATAAGTACCCCCAAACGCTCACGTAGAGCAGAGGGGGGAAATCTGTGCTTATTTCTAACGTGTGCTTTCTTCTTGTAATAATTAAAAAAAACTCTTAAACGCTTATGTAGCGGGCAAGGATAAAAATAAAAAATGCAACCGCGGTGTCATTTTGACACCTACCTGAAGAGCTCACATAGCGTCGAGGGGAAGGTTGCCTCTTGGTTTTTTCCCTAAACATGGGAGACGCCGGGAGGCTTCCAAAATTTTCACTGAAATTTGGAACTTGGACAAAATTTTGGAACTTAATTGGGATATAAACTTGAGCATACAATGAAATTTAAATCAAGTTTAATCAAATCAAATGAACATTGGAACAAAGTGCAAGAAGACTCAATTTGGGACTGCATTAAACTTGAACTTGGACATAATTTGGATAAATTGAACTTTGACTCAAACTTGGACAAGGGCTTGAGCTCAAAAAGGACAACAGGGGACTTGTGCAAATGAACTTATATATTTTGAACACCAATTTGAGCATCAAATGAGCAAGACTTGGACTTAAATCTAAATTAGACTCACAAGATATTGCTTTTAACTTGAATAAATAATTTAATCAAATAAATGATCAATATAATGATTATTTGAACCATAATACTAAGCTTTCAAAATGAGAAATACTATTTTAATTTGAAAGTGAATACTAAGTGATCTTATGAAAAATGTTGAAAATAAATCTCAAACATACAAATATGAGACTGATGAAGGAGGGAATCCAAGCATAATCAACATACAAACAAGAGCCAAGTGGGAGTGCATTGTACATGAATTTAACTCAAAGTTAAATATGAAGTGGGGATTTGTTTTGCAAATAATGAGAAGATTGTGGAGGATATGATTTAGCCACAAAGCCATGACTTGAATTCATTATAGCTTGATAATGGATTAGCAACATTAATTTATTACCAAGCTATGATCAAGATGGACATGTATAGTTTGATCATAATTAAATGTTGATAAATTTTGCAAATCATATGGATACAATAGTGAAGGATTATGACGTATGTATCTATCATTCAAACAAGTGCATTATCCTCCTACGAGCTGGTACAGAATCTCATCATGTGTATGACACAATGTTCGCAAATGAATACAAAATATGTGCAACAAATATGACAGATGCTATCACACCCCACGATCAATAATCACCCAATGTCCTCCTGCAAATGAAGATTATATAATATGTAGCAAAAAAAAAAGACCTACAAACTGTTGTAGGGAACCCATCATATCCACAAAGTACTATCCTCGAGCGAATACAAAAGAGATTCAACAAGTGCAAGTTCCTACAATCCAAGGTAGGAGATTAGTTAGTGCACGACAATCTACCTGCGTAAATCATACAAGTAATGCACGACAGTCTACCTGTACGAAGCAGCAAACCACTGATCCAGAAGCTGATACAATATGCCACCGAATCTGCAACACTCATACGAGCAGACCGAAGGCGTCCACAAACTACAATGCCACGCCACTGAATTTGCAACCTCCGTACAAGCAGACAGAAGGCGTCTACAAATACTTTCAATGTTGCCCCCACGTGCACAGTAGTTTATATACACATAGGTACACTAAAAGTGGTAAAAGCAATCATAAAACCCGCATAGGCTCCGACGAGCATGTTATTAGTACACACGTGACATCTAGGGATGCTTCGTGAGTTATTAAATTTGAACCCGATCATTCTAAGTAGATAAAAGAAGTTGATAGGGTTCAATTATAAAATGCCCCCAAACACCCATATGAGCCACGACGAGAATGTTATTGGTACACACGTGACGTCTAATGATACTGCGTGGGTCAATAAGTGAATTCTTGTTCGAACCCGATCATTATATACGGTTCAGTAGGAGTTGACAGGGTTCGAACCTTCAAACAAATACATGATTGTAGAGACCGGTGTATTTCTTTCAATGCATTCATATTAGGCCTTCAAGACCTACAATCAAGAGAATTCACTAACAAAGGCTCAAAAGGTTCGGAACCTGATCCCCTATCAGCAAGTCGATAGGGTTGATAAGGTTTAAGACATAAATATTCTCAAATGCCCTCAAACACTCTGATAATGGTCGTGTTGAATGCAGATCTCAACCGGAGGGGTTCCCAAACATTTTCAAATGCCTCCCAAACATCCAAAAAATAAAAAAACCAAATCTCAAATTTCAAAATATTTAAAATTGAAATAAACCCATTAAATACTTAAAGCAAAATTCATCCACCCTTCGCAACAATTTGTAGAGATGGATAAATTAAAATTTACTTCAGCTCACATAGAGTTAATTCCCTATCAGCAAGTCGATGTGCCTCCTGCTTCTACTATGTTTTTATAAATTATCCTTTATTTTTATGCTCTTTTGACATGTGTAATTTTTATGCTTCTTGGTGAGCCCCTGTTTTTTGCTCTTTACACATTTTTGCAACTGTTTTTTTCGGTTTACACATGTAACTAATTTTTTTCTTCTTTATTAATGAAAATTCGGCTGTTGCCCTTAAATTTGTCTTAAATGCAACCCCCCCCCCCCAAAAAAAAAAAAAAGAAAAAAAAAATAATTACTGTCTGATATGCCCTTTACTGCTTTTTAAAGTGAATTATTATTTTTTCAGTTGAAGAGGTCCTAAACCAACCCTAAATTAAGATATGCTGCGTTCATAAAAATGCAATTTCCATTTTCAACTTAAAATAGATGAGTGATGAAGAAATAGAGAGGAAACAAAGGTCGCTCGTCTCTCTCCTTGTCCGTAAGATAAGAAGATCCTTCCCGTCTTCGATCTCACCAATGGGCAATATTTGGCTATATCCACCAAATATTTTGGCTATATCCACCACGTTTCTCAATCTCTCCGCCAACTTTTCTTTCTTCCATAAATCTTAATACATGGGACCCAATTCAACATATTATAGCTCTTCCGCTGTCCTTTAATTCCCATCTTGCTTTAAATATTTCACACTCTCAAAAACTTTACTCAGAAGTTCCCTAAACCTTCGGTCGCGTCCTTGCACCTTTCAAAATCGAAGTTACTTTTTTTTTTATGAAATTTTAATCGAAGTTACTTATAATCCTATGGATTCGAGCCCAACTTCTCTGCTCTTATTCCCTTCACATGAACTCATGAATACTCACGGAAAAGATTCGTACGCTGCAAGCAGTCTCATCTTCGACTCTTCGTACCTACGCAATCAATCTTCCATTCCTCGCCAGTTCATCTGGCCACATAGAGAGAGTTCGAGCAAGGTGAATGAGCTTGAAGCACCCGTCATCGATCTTAAGGGATTCTTCCATGATGACGAAGCATCGACAAAGGTAGCTGCCGAACTCGTCTGTTCTGCTTGTACTGAGCACGGCTTCTTCCAAATCACCAACCATGGCGTCGACTCGTCTCTCATTGACAAAGCCTTGAGTTGCATTGACGAGTTTTTTAATCTCCCACTGCAGTACAAGCTGAAGGCACGCAGAAAGCCTCAAAGCATGTGGGGCTACGCCGGTGCCCACACCGACCGCTTCACTACAAAGCTCCCATGGAAGGAGACTCTCTCCTTCGGCTACGATAGCGCTGACTCACACTCCTCCATTATCCTTGACTACTTCACATCCAACCTGGGGAATAGTTACAAGAGAATGGGGTAATAACATGGAGATCAAGTCTAAGTTCTGTGAAAAATAACAACTAATCAAATGGCAAATTCCAATTAACTTATAAAAATTTATAAATCAATAAAAATGCATGCTTTTTTTATACATTTATTTCATGAATACGAATTAACCGTCCAGTAAAAATATGCTTGTGGAAAATCCTAGAATGGTGTATCAGAGATACAGCGAAGCGATTACAAAGCTCTCTCTTTCGGTCATGGAGCTTCTAGCGATAAGCTTGGGGGTGGATCGATCCCACTATCGTGAGTTCTTCGCAGACAGCAGCTCAATAATAAGGTGCAATTACTATCCGCCATGCCAGGAGCCAGAGCTCACGTTTGGTACAGGGCCGCATTGCGACCCGACCTCGCTCACAATCCTTTTGCAGCAGGAAGGTGTCGAAGGGCTGGAAGTTTTTTCCGGCGGAGAGTGGCGAGTGGTGCGGCCTGTGGCAGGCGCTCTGGTCGTTAACATCGGCGACACATTCATGGTAATCTTTTCATGCAAATCTATTTAACTATTTCTTTATAAGTATACAAATATAAATTTTATTTTAATAAGAATATAAACATATTCACGGATTACAGAATAGGAAGAAGAAAACGAAATGACAAGAATCTAGTTGGGGGTGTTAGAAAGGAGAAATTATTGCACAAAAAGTTCGGACTCCAGACTCTAATGTATACAAGATAAATGATTTGAACATACGATATGTACAACTTGTACATATGATATGTATATATAATGCATCTCCCGTATGTAAACTATGTGTCTTAATTTCATTGATTTCTCAATAGAAAGGCACTCTTTTTCACACTTTCTTTTACTTGAATAAGGCCTACTTTTAGAAAAAAAAAATTATATGCTGATATAGAATACAGCAAAATGAATTTTTAAATTATTAGATTTATCTAGAGATTACTGTAGTATGATATCTTAAAATTATATTAAATTTAATGTAAATTCGAAGACTTAAACTTCTTTTGAGATGCATTTTGTACGGAGATATTCTTACAGAAATAAATTTTTTTCTTGTTTGTTAATGCATGCATGTTATTTTCTTATTGTTTATTCTGGATCAACGTAAAGATGAAGTTTTACATACAAATGATGATTAATGATCTTGGTAAGGTCCAAGTCATGCAAGCCATAGTGTCTTTATAGGGTGCTGGTGTTGTTGTATCTGCCGGAATAAGTTAAATCACCATTTGAAAATGAAGATAGATACATAAGCAGCATATGAGAAGATGAAGAAAAACATAAAATAAGGTAGATGCAGAAAAATGATAAGAAAAACTGTATTTAAATGGTTCAACTATTACAAGCCTTTAGTACATGCATGTATAATTGTATATATTCATAAGTAAAGTATTTCTGAAATGGTTTAGCTGTAAGTTGATGTTGCCATCAATCTGACGTAGCAGTACCAGTGGAGAGTGAGTTTCGAGCAGTGAGCAGAGTTCAGTCATATGTCTTCTTAGTTATCTGATATGTCTTCTTATTATTGATAGTAAGTTTTTGATAGTACAATTAAAGTTTTGATTGTGATAGTTTTTTTAGTACTTTTTAAAACAATTTTTCAGTATAAAAATTTTATTTATTATATTAAAAAATTGTTTTAAAAAATAGTAAAAAAAGCCTCAAATGAAGTATAAAACATTTGTCTTAGAATTAGTATCAGGAATACAATAACAATTAATATATTCAAACTTTGTGGCCACAGACTTTAATAGGCCAAGATTTTTTCACAGAAAATATTAAAAGAGAAATAAAAGAATTATTCACAGATTTGCGGAATTAAATATTATGCTCGAAAGTTGAATGGGCATTAATAGGGAGGAAAACCGATGCATGAAAACTCTCATTTTGAACGTGTGCTATTCTGCGCTTTACAAAATTATCTATGGTCATTTTGGCAGGCACTATCTAATGGTAGGTACAAGAGCTGCTTACACCGGGCAGTGGTGAACAACAAGCAGGAACGATTGTCGCTTGCCTTCTTCCTGTGTCCTAAAGAAGACAGAGTGGTAATCCCCCCAACGTGCATTGTGGATGAGGAGAATCCGCGGAAGTACCCTGACTTTACATGGGCTGAGCTATTCGACTACACACAGACTCATAGAGCTGACATGCGAACACTACAAAACTTCTTCCACTGGCTGCTTTCCTCCCCTGGCCCGTTTTAGCTCTCTGCTCATCATCAAATATTTAGTTAACTGATGTCATCATCTATATAATATAGTAATTAGACATACTTTTATGTCACGCCCTTGCTTTGTTAAAATTAAGTCGATCTACATACATCGTTCTTGTTTGTTGTGTTTGTGAGAATATCAACTTCTGGCTGTAAGTCACCACACAGATAATCAGAATTGTGTTTGGAAATATGTCGTTTATAAGGACACGATGAGCAACATGAATAAACGTATGAAGTGATTTGTAGGGAAACATGAGGCACGAGACCATCCAGCTCTAAGAAAGAACATTAACATGCATTAAGCTCCTAGAAGAGCAAGGAATAACAGATTGAAACAAAATCATACATATTATACACTTGTATATATTTTCATAGGTATTTAGTAGGTACCCAACATATCTTGATAAAGAAACTCACCTGAAGCTCACAGGAGGACTCGCCTGACCAGATCAATAGACATTACTTGCTTAGATCCCTAGAAAACTCACCTAGCACAAGGCCGCTCGAAGGTTCTTCACCAACTCAGTAGCTCGACCTCTGCCAGATGTTATCCTTCTCACTTTCTCTAAGCGTAACCACTGTTTTGTCCAAGCTCAATTACAGAAACATACCTACCTATGGTTCCCAACTCACCCTTGAAAGTTTGCAAATAGCTTCAATACTAATTGATAGTGCTATGAGGCACGCCAAAAGGTGTGGGGGGGTGCGGGGTGTGAATTGGTAGTTTTAAAGATTTTTTACTTAAAAATCCTTTGTTTAAAATAAATCTTGAAATATGCGGAAGTGATTAAACAAACGAAAATGAACAACGCAAAACAAAAGTAAAAGTAAGTACAAATTTTTGTGTTTTTAAATTTCAAAGAAAACAAATAATATTTTTTTTTTTCATTTCTGATATATATATTTTCAAACTAAATTCAAATAAAAAAATAATCACCATTATCCTCTTTCACAAATATGATTACAATCAAATCAAAGTGCAATAAATAAATTGTGAGAAAAAGTAAAATGTAGCAAGCAAGAAAATCCAAATCAATATTTCACTACAAAAAAGACAAGTTTTAAAGACATATATATTAAGGCACTTTTATTTAATTGCCTTAACAAAATTTTATTAAGGCATTTTTATGTACTTTTCGCGCCAATTAGCGGATTGTATTAGGCGCGAGAGCTCGGCGTATTTTATTTTCGCCGTGAGTGGGATTGCGAACAGAGCAGTTACTCGTGGGATAGTTATAAAGCCCGATTCTTCTTGTTTCGATTCGTCATCTTGTTCGTTCGCCTCCAAAATCACCTTCGTTCGCCTTCGAAATTTTCTCTTTCGTTCGCCTCCTTCGTCGATCATCTTGTTCGTTCACTCGTTGATCTCTGCCGCTAAATCTACAATCACCACTGTCGCATAAGGTAAAATGCTTCACCGGCCCTAATCGTTCGAATGTCGAATGCCCACTATCTAGGGTTCCATAAAATTTAATTATTTCTCCTTTTGATTTGTAGGGTTCTTGAGATTCTC